TACATTAAAAATCTTTAAGCAGTTACCCTAGAGTTTACAGTATACATTTACAACTAATTTTGTTGTAATCTAGTTTGAATTGACTAGAGTAAACTAACTTAACTAAAGTAGGAGAAACTAATCTAGATTGAAAGATTTTTTTAAGGTTACCTGGGATATGTTTTCATCAGGTATGGAAATACATGCAGACATGAAAATGACTGTCATTCAGGAAGAAATTTATCATACAGTTCCCTAGAAATAAGAAATATGCCATGCCATGTGGAGGCCACATAAGGAAGCACCAGGTTTGGTCAGGAAGCATAGGAGATGGGGGCAAATGTGGGCAAGAGCCTCTATTGTGGTTTTTTTGGGAAGAAACAGGAGAGACAGGGTAAGCAGGTCTAGGGTTGGCTAGTTTCAGCAGTCCATGATGCATAGAGGCTGTCCTTAGTTGTCTGGTACCTAGCTCTGGTGTGATTTTGGCAGGTGGATAGTGGCCTGGTGTATGTGAGTCTGATAAAGCAGACTTTATCAGACTGTCAGGTGGTAGGGTATATGGGCTCTGGATTGATTGGTTTGCATATGAAAGGTGAGTTGTCTACTATCTGAAGTAATTGGATAACCCTAAGAAGGGCAGTCCTCTAGGTTGGTAAGGCCCTAGATATGAAAGCTTCGGAATACAGCAAATGGTGATGTTAATAAAGTTAGTCTTGTTGTGGTTTGAGATATGATCAAACCTTTGGCGTAATAAGACGCTTTTAGAGAGTAGAGCATAAGTTTAGCTAAACAGCGTAGAGAACATTTTATTATGAGAGTAAAAAGGAGAAACAGAAGTAGACGTATAAGGAATTCTTGTAGACCAGCTCATAACTAAATTTCCCATTTGTATAACATTAGCCAAGGAAATAGATCTGAAATTTCTGGAGTCTCTAAGAGCATCTTTGTGCAGTTGTAAATTGTGTTAAAAATTCTATATGTGTGTTTCTTGACAATAATACCCTGGTGTATTTTGGGGTAAAAGTGGCAAGTCAGGCAGTTTATGGTGTTGGAGAGTATCAGCTGATTAGTTTGGTAAAGTATATATAAAGATTGATGGTATTTGTATGTACCCAAAGGGAAGAGGTGGTTGTAGTCATGGTCAGAGATGCAGGGTGGGAGTAGTAGGAGAAGGGACTGGGGAGTGAGTGCTCCTCTCCCTAGGGTCCAGGGGTTCATGATACAAGGCAGGTGACTCCTAGGGAAAGCAATAATCTCCACCAGTGTTTAGAATGGCACAGAGAGACATGGAGTGTAGGGATATATGGTTTGATAGAGGACAAAAAAGTATACCCTTGTCATGGGCTACACAGACAGCTGCTCAGGAAACACAATAGAGTCCCTAATATCGAAGTAAGAAAACCAGTACATTTCTTGTGTGCAATTTGTGCCTTGGGAGAGGCAGTGCATGAGCCTGCCTGGGGTGGAAGTTTTAGTGTCTGAGGGGAAGTTGTCTCCGTGCAGGATGCAGAGTCATCTCCAAGAGGCAGGTCTTAAGCTGGAGTGATGTCATCTGAGGTGGTAACATCTCTAGCAGCGAGTTCCTGGGCCAGGGCAATGTTGTTTGGGGTGTGGTGCTAGGATATCCTTTTTAAGCTGATCCCCACTTGAATGAACGCAGGTTTTATTTTTGTGGCTCTGTGGTATTAAAATGGTGCTGAAGTACTTGTGTAATTTGAAGGCAATGTTGGGCCTGTGACTTCAATTTATAAATATCTGTTAACTCGAGGGGCTTCTGGGTGCACAGCGAGCAGAAGTGATATTGACGTCTGTGCAGAACCTGACTGGCACAGCCCAAGTTAGCTGTGGCTGGATCTAAAAGTGTCCAACAGTCTAGGATTTTGCCTTATTAGGTGATGAGAAGAGTTCTGTTATAAATAGGTTTTAGATTTTATGACCTGATTTTGGTGTATGTGGTTAATAGGAGGTCAGGTTGTTTGCCATTTAAAATATTTATACCCGTGTTTAGGGCTCCATAATTATGCTGGAGGCAGGCACCCTAATTTGGCCAGCCAGTATGGGCCTTTTGCCTCAGTTGTTGGTTTGGTTGTTGACAGGCAAGCTGGTGAAGTCTTTTGGTTGTAAGGTTTGTATTATCCAAACTCAGTGGCATGTGGGCCTCAGCATTTGCCACGTCTGGCTGAAATAATGGCTTACTTGGAGGATTTGGGCCTCCAGATTGCAAACCAATAAAAACACTCAGATCAATGGTAATGAGATGAACAGTCAACAGAATGTTGTACAGCTGCACTTGAGAGGTTTTGTTTTTGTTTTTCATTTGTTTTTGTGGTGGTGGAAGTTTAGGCTCAAATGGGTCTCATGTCAAATTAGCAGCTGCCTGGACCAGGAGGAAATCTATGGTTAATAGACCTCAGGATGGTATGTACCTGGATCTGGTCTCCAACCCTTATGGGGTGGGGCAAGATAAAATATTTACAGCAGTAGGGGAGACATAGTTAAAGGGGCTCCTATACAGTGAGTCTTCATATACATGGAGGCCAGACATAAGCCCCTTTAAATATAGGGAAGGAAAAGGGAAAAATGTTTTAAAGTTTGTGTGAAGTGTGTGTCAGACAAGGGTCCTTGAATTAAGAGACATTAATAGCTTGGCCAATATAGACACCCATTTAAGGGTCCATTTGTTGGATTTGAAAAGGAATTATTTAAGGAAACCGTTATGTCTCTCAATTGAACCAGCTATCTGAGACCTGTTGGGGACAATGAAAGTTATATTGAATGCCTTTTCCAATAGAGTGGCATTGTGTCTTCTGAGAAACGAAATGTGTTCCTTGGTTACTATTAATATTGTCTGTAACTATGAAGGGAATAAAGTGTGTCCTGGCAAGGGCTTCTGTTTGGTCCTAAGAACTGCTTTTGATCAAAAGCTGGGGTGCAGGAAGGAGGGATTGCTTGAGTTCAAGCAGTCTTCCAGTAAACAAAATTGCTCTCTACGCTCTGAAGGTGGACTGAAGTGTCTGATGCGTCAGCTGATTGTTGTTTTCTACCTCTCAGTGGCTGTGGTTGAACAACAAGCAACCCAGGGCAATATGCGGAATGGAAACTTAGAAACATCTTCATGGGTCAGTTAATCTTCTCCCCTGAACTGTGCTTTACTTGCCGCTCCCTCACAATGCCATCTTGCTCTTGGTCCATCAAGTACCAACAACTTTTTAAAAACTACTATTTTTAGAGCAGTTTTAGGTTCACAGCACCATTGAGAAGAAGGTGCATAGATTATCAATGTATCCCTTGCCCCTACACTTGCATAACCTTCTTCGTTATCACCATCACTCACCGAGGGTTATACTTATTGCAATTGATAAACGTACATTGACCCATTAAAAATCACCCAAAGTTCATAATTTGCCTTAGGGTTCAATGTTGGTGTTGTACTTTCTACGGATTTGGTCAAATAATGATATGTGCCCATCATTATGGTATCATACACAGTATTTTCACTGCCTTAAAAATCCTCTGTGCTCTCTGCCAATTAATTTCTCCCCTCCCCACCTGCAGCCGTGGATCTTTTGTCTCCATAACTTTTTTTCCAGGATGTCATATAGTTGGAGTCATATAGTATATAGTCTCTGCAGGTTGGCTTCTCTCGCTTAGTAACATGCATTTAAATTTCCTCGGTGTCTTTTCATGACCTTGTAGCTCATTTCTTTTTAGTGCTGAATAATATTCTATTGTCTGAAACATGCCACAGTTTATCTGTTCACCTGCTGAAGGACATCATGGATGCTTGCAAGTTGTGGCAGTTATGAATAAAACTGCTATAAACTTCTGTGCAGATAATAGAAATGTTTCAAAGGAAAACAGCAATACCTGTTGAGGGTGTATTAGTTATCTATTGCTATGTAACTGATTGTACCAAACCTTAGCACATGAAAACAACACAGTTCTGTGGGTCAGGAATCTAGGAGCAGCTTAGTTGGTGAAAACAAGATGTCAGCTAGGGCTGTAATTATCTCAAGGTTCAACACAGAGGGGATTTGCTTCCAAGCTCAGTCATGTGACTATTGGAAGACCTCAGAAAAAGTTTCCAAGCTCACTCACGAGGACCTCTCCACAGGCCTACTTCATGACAAAGTAGCTACCTTCCCCCAGAGCGAATGAGAGAGAGAGAGACATAGAATCCAAGAAGTCAGTCTTTTAATAACTTATCTTGGAAATGATGACCCATCATTTCTGCTATATTCAGTTAATTAGAAGCAAGTCAGTAAGTCCAGCCTACACTCAATGGAGTGGGGATACACGGGATCATAAATACCAGGAGGCAGGGACCCATTTTAGAGACTGTATACTACAAAGAGAATGTAGGATTGATTATTAAAATAAAAGATTAAAAGCATCTTGTTTAAAATAATTCAAAGAAGCGATATAGTGTGGTGTTTAAACTCTATTAGATTTGCTAAGATAGCTGGTATTGTCATTATGTAATAGTATCTTGAAATTAAACTGTAGTGTTACTCATCCATCCGTGTTTAATAATACTTACATAACTAGTACAATTGTGTCTACGTTAAGTATCTTGGCTGCATTAATGAATTTTAAAAATGAGTTTTATGTTTGGTAGTGTATATATGTCCATGCCACTCTGTCACTTTGTCACAGCTTACCCTTCCCCCTCCCCATATCCACAAGTCCATTCTCTAGTAGGTCTGTGTCTTTAATCCTGTGGGAAGCAGCCACATAGCACAGGGAGATCAGCTCCGTGCTTTGTGACCACCTAGAGGGGTGGGATAGGGAGGGTGGGAGGGAGGGAGATGCAAGAGGAAAGAGATATGGGAACATATATATATGTATAACTGATTCACTTTGTTATAAATTAGAAACTAACACACCATTGTAAAGCAATTATACTGCAATAAAGATGTTTAAAAAATGAGTTTTATGTATGAATTTTTGATTATAGTAACTTTTTATAACTGAATAAGATTCTTAGCTAACTATTTTTCTTTTCTTTTCCTTATATTTAGTATTCAGAGGGTTTATCCTTGGAGTCATATGCTCTCAGTATTGTGCAGTTGCTTGGCCTTAACATGGGAATGAGTTATGATAATACTGAGATCTGCCATTGTTCAGGAGATGTTTGCGCAATGTCACCAAAAGCTGTGTAAGATCATTTTCTTTATTAAACACACAGTATACTTAAAAATTGTTTTTTGGTTAGGGACTTTACATTTCTATAACCAAACTGAATTAATTGACAATTATAGAACACTATATCCTACACTAGGATGCGCATTCTTTTCAAGTGCAGATGGAACACACGCCAAAATAAGACCCAGCACTCCCTCAGGCCTCTCCATGCCTGGGGACGTTCTCTTCCTCCTTCCTACCTTCCAGAGTCTGGCTTGTATTTTTCTCTGCTGGCTAGATTGAAGGTGCCCTCTGGGGACAAGCCATATGAATTGTGTGATTTTAGTGATTCTATTTAAAGTTAAGTGCCTTGATACTGGCATTATACAATATAAGGATGAACAGTACAATTCAAGTTAAAAATGTATCTTTTTTAAATTTAGAAAGACATCAAGTCACAAATAAGTAAAACTATGCCCCACTGAGAGAGAGACTACTGAAGAAAAAGGCTTTTTTAAAATTTTAGTATCACTGATAATACTTTAAAAACAATTTTGAAATCAGGTAGTACAAATCCCCAAGTTTTTTCATCTTTTCCCAAATTGTTTTGTTTATTCTAGGTCCTTTGTAGTTTCATATATATTTTATTATCAAATTTCCAATTTTTATGAAAACTGTTGAGAGTTTTAAAAATTGAAGTATAGTTTATTTACAACATTATGGTAGTTCCAGGTATACAGCATAGTGATTCAGTATATTTACAGATTATATTCCATTATAAGTTATTACAAGATAATGGCTATAATTCCCTGTGCTATATATTTACTGTATCCTTGTTGCTTATCTGTTTTATACATACTAGTTTATATCTCTTAATGCCCTACTCCTAACTTGCTCCTCCCCTCCTCCCTCTCCCCTTTGGTAACCCCTTGTTTGTTTTCTATATCTGTGAGTCTACTTCTGTTTTGCATATGTGTTCTTTTGTACTATTTTTTAGTTACCACATATAAGCGATACCATATGGTATTTGTCTTTCCCTATTTGACTGACTTCACTTAGTATGACAAATACCATACAGTATTTGTCTTTCTCTGTTTGACTTACTTCATTTAGTATGATAGTCTCTACATCCATCCTTGTTGCTGCAAATGGAAGAATTTCATTCATTTTTATGGCTGAGTAATATTCTATACCATATCTTTTTCATCCATTCATCTGTGGATGGGCATTTGGGTTGCTTCCATATCTTGGGTATTATAAATAGTCAATTTTGGGAGAGTTACCATCTTAACAATACTGAGTCTTTTAATTCTTGAATCTGGTATATGTCTTCATTTATTTAGGTCTTTAATTTTCCCCAGCAATGTATGGTATTTTACAGTTTACATGTCTTGTACTTGTTTTGTTATATTTATTCTTAAACATTTTATTCTTTTTTGCTATTTTGAAAAGAACTGTTTTCTTAATTTCATTTTCAGAGTGCTCATTGCTAGTACATAGAAATATAATTTTTGTATGTTGACTTTGTGTGCTGCAAACTTCCTAAACTCAACAGAAATTCCAGGAGATTTTATTTGTTGATTACTTAAGATTTTCTGTAAACAATATCTTGTTGTCCATGAATAAGAACAGCTTTATGTTTTCCTCTCCATCTATTTTTGTGTAATTCCTTTTTCTTGCTTAATTGCACTTGAAATAAATTCAGCCCAATGTGAATCGACCTGGTGAGAGTGGGTACCCTTGCCTTGTTACCAATCTTAGCTATAGTTTTTTTTTTTTTTAAATAAATGTCTTCTCTTCTAAAACAGTGTCTTTTATTCCCTGTAAATTGTGTTGTTTTATTTTTCTTCATCATTCCAATAACTATCTGACTTATTTCATATACCTATTTCCTGATGTTTATACTTTTTGCCCCTAGCAGGCACTTGGTCTACGTTTCACTACACACCAGTTGCCTAGAAGAGTGCTTGGTAAATGTTTCCAATAATGACCTTTTAGCTCAGTATTCTTATTATTTCATTTTGTCCTGTGATGACTGAATCTATGTTATCCCAAATATCTGTGAAGGCACAAAGTAGATAATAACTAAATTACTTCTTCTCTGTGTGAAATTGTTTCTCAAAGGAATATTCTTTCATCATCTTTTTGAGTGTTGTATTTATATACACTATAAAAAATCAACTTTTGAGGTACGATTTGTCTACAATAAAATTCATACACTTTAAACTTTAAGTGTACAAGTTTATGACTGATAAATATATACAAATTACTGAACCAGTGTCAATCAGGCTATGCAACATTTCCATTTCCACAGAAAGTTCTTTTGTGATCCTTGGCTGTCCTTTTTACCTTCCACCCTGCCCCAGTCAACAGCTGATCTGATTTCTATCACTACAATTGGTTTTACTGGCTCTAGAACATTAGGTAAATTGGATGATATGCACTCTCTTTTGAGTGTTCACTCTGTAAGGCTGTAATTTCTCTGAATTATTTAATTAATTAATTGAATATATTTATAATGGTTCCTTTCAAGTATTTGTGTGCCAAATCTAACACCTGGGCCATCTCAGTGTTGCTTACTATTGACTGCTTTTTTATTGACTATGGTTTACATTTTCTTATTTCTTTGTATGATTATTATTAGTAGTGGCATATTGGATATTGTTTGATAGTACAATAGAAAGCCTAGATTCTCATTACCTTCCTCTGAAAAGCATTGATTCTTTTTCTACCAGGCAATTCAGTTATTGGGTAATCATTTTAAATTTTATGTGCTTGGTTTTATACTTCATTAACATGAGTCTATAGAAAACTCAAGGCATTTCCAAACCCCTCTAAAATGGCAGGCCTGAACTTCCAAACTTGGTTTCCTCTGGGGATGTTGTCAGGGCTTGAGTTTAGGCTCTAACTGTTAGGACTGATACAGAGTAGATTTTAGTATAGGGCAGAGGTCAGCCAACAATGATCTATAGGCTAAATTTGGCTGCCTGCCTGTTTTGTAAATTCATTTTGTAGGCTTACTGTTTTATGTGTTCTTCATGGCTGCTTTTGCACTACAGTGGCAGAGTTGAGTAGCTACAACAGAGCATATGGCATATAAGCCTATAATATTTACTGTGTGGCCCTTCACAGATAAGTTTGTCAGCTACTGGTCTAGGGCATAGTCTTTACTCTTAAATTGTATTCTTTCTAGGGTTTTAGTTGGATGCTGATATATTAGCAGACTACTAACAACTTTCTCACTCCATTAGGACAGGTATTCCTCTTGTCCCTCCCATGGTATAAATCAAACAACAGATTCTTGTTTGAAAAATGCCTAATTACAGAGAGCAAAAGTTCTAAAATATACTTTTAAAGATAATACAGACATGTTCATATTGATATTTACAGAAAAAATACAAAAATGATATTAAATAAATAAAAAGTATATTAAATACCTAGGCCAAAAATTTTAAATTCAGTTGTTTGGCACTAAGAAGGTAAATAAAGAGTAACACAGTTCCTATGTTTAAACAATTAATAAAGATTTTAGGACAGGTAAATAATTGGTCTTCTTTAAAACAGGATGAATGGCAAAAGATTTTGGAATTTTTTTTTCATTACAAGAATTTTCTTGGTGAAATTTAAAAAGTGTGTTAAAAATGTTAGTATTTTTTAAATACTTTTATATTTTTAAACGTGTGCTTATTGTTATCCATGAGAATAATGCTCTTTAAATCTCTCTTGAAAACATCATACATTAGGAGAAATGTAGAGTTATACAGCAATAATTTTTGTCATACCCTTTTTTTTTAATATTTTAGGCTATCTGAGGGTATAAAGGATTTTAGCACTTGTAGCTTGGATGACTTTAAATATTTTGCTGCACATTCTGGCCTTGAATGTCTTCATAAAATCCTTCCTGTTGAGCCAGTTTACAAACAGAGGCAGACGTGTGGCAATGGAAAGTTGGAATCGGGTGAAGAATGTGATTGCGGCACTTTACAGGTTAGTGGAAATTTTTTCAAAAATATTTTTTGCTTCCTGTATATGTGAGTACGAGGTGGAAAAGAAGACCTTGTCTTTTAGAAGAAAAATTTTGAAAAATACCTCTTTGGGGAAGATGGAAGCCTTTAAGTTTCCTAATTTTGCCATTTTTTGAAGTGGGGAGCAAACATCCTTTAGTTAATATTTGTCTTCAGATATTGTCTTCCTAAATTCTTTAGTGTATGCATCAGCTCTAATCTTATAATTAGTGACCACAAAGAGTGTATAAGGAGTTGCAGAAATATGCCTTTAACTACAAGCAGTAACAAAAAGACAAGAACATCTAAAGACGATAGACTATATAGCAAAATGCATCGTTTGCTATTATACGGAAAAAAAGTTTTGTATGGACAGGTTATGTTTCCCTTCAACACTGCAGTGGATGCTCCTGCCATTGCAGTAAGGGAAGATAAAGAAACACAAAGAAACACACAGTGAAACTGCAGTAAGGCACGAAAAAGAAACAGTGAGTGGAAAGGAAGATTAAAACTGTCTAATCAAATTCAACTTGGCCACGTGATTGGAGAATCCTAAACAATCTACCCCCGAAGTCTGCTAAAGCTAATTAATGAATGCACGTGAACCCAAATTCCATGGAGTTCTATGTATAAACAATGAACAAATGTAAAATGAACTAAAATGTACAATTCCATATACATTGTTTCAAAAACATGAAATAGAGATAAATTTAACAGAATACGTGCAAGACCTGTACAATGAAAACTCACATTGCTCAGAGAAATGAAAGAAGATCGAGAGGGAGACATATCCCACTTTCATGGATTGGAAGACACAATATTGCCAAGATGTCAGCTCTACATCAACACTCCACACAATCCCAATCCCAACCCCACCATCGTTCTGTGGAAATTGACAAGCTGATACTATAATATATATGGAAATGCAAAGGACCTAGAATAGACAAAGCAATTAAAAAGAACAAAGGTGGAGCACATGCACTAATTTTCTGTAAATTTCAAAATTTTCTATAAAGCAGAAATAATCAGTATAATGTGGTATTGGCCAAAGCATAAATATATCCCTTAATGAAACAGTATAGAGAATCCAAATATAAAATATTTATAAGGTCAGTTGATTCTCTGCCAATCAGAGATGTTAAGGCAGTTAAATGGGTGAAGAAAACCTTTCCAACAAAGGTATTGTATGAGCTAGATACCCACGTACATAAAAAGAAAACTTTGACATCTCACCATACACAAAAACTAACTTGAAATGGATCAAAGACCTAAATATAAAAGCGAAAATCCTAAAGCTCTTAGAGTAAAACACAGGAGACAGTCTTTTTGACTCTGTGATAGGCAGAACTTTCTTAGATAAGGCAAATAAGAATGAGGTTTTAAAGAAAAATATGTAAGTTGTACTTAATCAAATTTAGAAACTTCTTCTTTTAGGCTCTGTTAAGAAAAATAAAATGATAGACTCTGAAATGGGAGATTCAAAAGCCAATTCAAAGGACTTTTATTCAAATACATTGAAATACAATTATGGTTTCTGGTCTGACATGTGAGAAGTTTAGAAGTCACCACTTAGTCCTTACAAGTAAAAAGCTAACCAACTTGGAAAAGAAATAGCTCTTCTTGCATCCATCAGAGATGTGAGGTCACAGAGCAAACCACTGCCCCACAAATTGGAAAAACCAACAGGTGGATGCAGAGAATCACAACTTAATAGAGTAGCAACCCACAAGCTAAAACCTTTTGGGAACCAGTATCTGGGTAGGAAAACCTGAACTGGAATTGACAAATTTCTGGAGTCTCAGTGTGTAGAACTCTGATAGTTTAAAACTCCAGGGGAACCCGATCATAGGAAGGTCCCCACACTTTTATGAGTTGTACCTGCAGAAACTTGAACTGTTTGTCACAGTGAATACTGGAGAGAAGTCTAATGCTTCTGACAGAGGGAGGGGAAAAGGAACCATTTTGAAATAGCCAGAGCATTCTATTCTCAAGAAAGTCTGCCCTTACAAATGGAGTTGTATTGAAAAAGAAAAAAAAAACCCAAACTAGAATAACCAAACATTTGATTAAGAGATACAGTAAGAAAAAAAGCTAACAAAGGAATATTTAAACTTTGAGTACATGAATACACGAGTCAATAGATGAAATAAATAGCCTTTTAAAAGTATAATATTGCTGCCTGTGGTGAAGCTGTTCATTGAAAATACCAATTAAAAATACCAGTAAGGGGCTTCCCTGGTGGCGCAGTGGTTGAGAGTCCACCTGCTGATGTAGGGGACACGGGTTCGTGCCCCGGTCCGGGAGGATCCCGCATGCCACGGAGGGGCTGGGCCCGTGAGCCGTGGCCGCTGGGCCTGCGCGTCCGGAGCCTGTGCTCCGCAACGGGAGAGGCCACAACGGTGAGAGGCCTGCGTACTGCAAACAAAAACAAAAACAAACAAAAAAAATACCAGTAAGAAAAAACACAACACCAGGAAACTCAAACTTCTAATATTGGTAAATTACAGAGTTTAAAACAAACTTGCTACTGAAGACTGGAAAAGTTGATTGAAGGCACTGAATCTTGTAAAATACAAGTACGTATGGGGCCAGCATCCCAGTGAAATCTGGACAGACCAGACTGGCTTCTGGGACCACTTTTCTGGGGGCAGAAGTTTGGGGGTTTGCCATTTCAGACAGAAGCTGAGAGTCTGCCTGCTGGCAGTGTGTAAATAGATTTATTATGAAAGCAAGAATATAGGAAAAATTTAGAAGAGAATGGTAGCTAACAAGAAATCTAATAACTATTTCCTCTAAGTTTTTGGCTCCACAGTAGTATGTTAATATTGTTCAGATTATATGGAATGTAGTGAAATGACACATTTCTTTTACAACCTACTGGCTGAGATGTTGATTTCAATAAGTCTCATGTAAAGAGTGGAATTACAGAAACTGGTTTTTAAGAAATGCTCATACTTCGTAAATAAATTCTGTATTGTAGTTTTATTTGATTGTACCTAATCATGCATGACTGAGTAACAAAGCATTTGTTTCCAGAATTGTACACATCCAGCCTGCTGTGATCCTAGAACATGTAGAAAGAAAAAAAATAAAATATGTGGTTCGGGGGAATGCTGCACACGAAATTGCAAGGTAGGAGGCAATCTGTATTTTATATGTTAGCACTAAATTTCTTTTTCTTAAAAAATTTATTTATTTATTTATTATTTTTGGCTGTGTTGGGTCTTTGTTGCTGCATGCGGGCTCTCTCTAGTTGCGGCGAGCAGGGGCTACTCTTCATTGTGGTGCGCGGGCTTCTCATTGCAGTGGCTTCACGTGTGTAGAACGGGCTCTAGGCGCATGGGCTTCAGTAGTTGTGGTGCCTGGGCTCAGTAGCTGTGGTGCACGGGCTTAGTTGCTCCACGGCATGTGGGATCTCCCTGGACCAGGGCTCGAACCTGTGCCCCCTGCATTGGCAGGCGAATTCTTTTTTTTTTTTTTTAATTTATTTATCTATTTTTGGCTGCATTGGGTCTTTGTTGCTGCGTGCGGGGTTTCTCTAGTTGTGTCGAGTGGGGGCTACTCTTTGTTGCGGTGTGTGGGCTTCTCATTGCGGTGGGTTCTCGTTGCAGAGTACAGGCTCTAGGTGCGTGGGCTTCAGTAGTTGTGGCTTGCAGGCTCTAGAGCACAGGCTCAGTAGTTGTAGCGCATGGGCTTAGTCGCTCCACAGCATGTGGGATCTTGCTGGACCAGGGCTCGAACCCGTGTCCCCTGCATTGGCAGGTGCATTCTTAACCACTGCGCCACCAGGGAAGTCCCATCATTAAATTTCTTGAAATACTTGTTCCAGGGAGATGGAAAACATGTCACTACTCTATGCAGTCCTTCCCATCTTATTATATGCAAGCAGCATTGGAGCCCCTGTCACACTTCAGTCCACTCTGTAATCTGTCATTTCTAGGACTCTCCTGTACATAATGCCTGATGCTTCTCTCTCCTGATTTGACTTCCCATTCCTATACCACATTACAAATCTTTCCTGTACCCACTGGGATTTCTCTGTGATCAACATACACCTTGGGCAACCTTCTTAAATTCTTATTTTATAAGACCATACTTAACATAGGGACAGGAAGTTAGACTAGTTCTTTTTGCTGGCTAACTTCTCTTTACTGTCTTCTGGTAAAAATCCTCTCTACCTTCACAATTCATTCAGTTACTGTTACAACCATTCAGTTCCTTTTAATGAAAGCATTTAACGAACCCCTGAAAATTGCCCAACACCCAGCACAATCCATTGGAACCCTAAGGAGAAAGAAACAAACTCTTGAACAAAGGTAAATGCACATATTCTTAAGACAGGAGGAAGAGCATGATTTAATCTTTAAAAAAATTTCCCCCAGGTTTATCGATATAACCAACATATAATTCTTTAGTTTAAGATGTACAACGTAATGATTTGCTCTAAGTATGTATTGTGAAATGATGACCACAATAAGGTTAGTTAACACATCCACCACTTCACATACTGAGAACATTTAAGATTTACTATCTTAGCAACTTTTAAGTATATAATAACATTATTGTTAACTACAGTAATGCAGTACATTAGATCCCCAGATTTTTTTCATTTTATAGCTGAAAATTTGTACCCTTAACCTACATCTTCCCATTTTCCTCACCTAGCACCCACTGGCAACCACCAATCTACTCTCTGCTTTGAGGAGTTTGACTTTTTTACATTTCACATGTGAGATTATATAGTATTTCTCTTTCTCTTGTCTGACTTATTTCAATTAGCATAATGTCCTCCAGGTTCCTACATGTTGTCGCAAATGGCAAGATTTCCTTATTTTTTATGGCTGAATATTATTCCACACTACATTTCTTTTAATACATTAATCTATTGCTCGACACTTAGGTCATTTCCATATCTAGGCTATTGTGAGTAATGCTGCGATGAACATGGGGGTACACCTGCCTCTTCAAGACACTGTTATTATATCCTTCAGATATATATCCTGGATCAAAGTAGTTCTATTTTTAATTGAGAAACCTCCATATAGTTTCCCATAGTGACTGTAACAATTTACATTCCCTCCAATAGTGTGCCAGGGTTCCCTTTTCTCCGCATCCTTGTAAACACTTGCCATTTGTTGCCTTTTTGACTACAGCCATTCTGACAGGTGTGAGGTGATATCTCATTGTGATTTTGATTTTCATTTCCCTGATTAGTGATGTTGAACATCTTTTCATGTGCCTGTTGGCCATCTGTGTGTCTTTTGAAAGATGCCTATTCAGGCTCTCTGTCCATTTCAAAATCAAGTTGTCCATCTACGTCTCTATAAATGACCCCATTTCGTTCCTTTTTATGGCTCATTAATATTCCATTGTATATATGTACCACATCTTCTTTGTCCATTCGTCTGTCAGTGGACATTTAGGTTGCTCCCATGACCTGGCTATTGTAAATGATGCCACAGTGAGCATTGGGGTGCATGTGTCTTTTTGAGTTATGGTTTTTCTGGGTATATACCCAGTAGTGGGATCGCTGGGTCATATGGTAATTCCAGTTTTAGTTTTTTAAGGAACCTCTACACTGTTCTCCACAGTGGCTGTATCAATTTACATTCCCACCAACAGTGCAAGAGGATTCCCTTTTCTTCACACCCTCTCCAGCATTTATTATTTGTAGATTTTTTGATGATGGCCATTCTGACCAGTAGAGACTGTCATACAGAGTGAAGTAAGTCAGAAAGAGAAAAACAAATATCATATATTAAGGCATATATGTGGAATCTAGAAAAATGGTACAGATGAACCTATTTGCAATGCAGAAATTGAGACACAGAAGTAGAGAAGAAACGTGTGGGCACCAAGGGGTGAAAAGGGGGGGTGGGATGAATTGGGAGAGTGGGATTGACATATGTACACTAATATGTATAAAATAGATAACTAATGAGAACCTGCTGTATAGCACAGGGAACTCCACTTCTCTGTACAGTAGAAACTAACACAACATTGTAAAACAGCTATACCCCAATAAAATTTTTTTTTTAATTTTAAAATAAAAATTAAATTTAAAAAAAAGGGAAAAAAATAAAATCAAGTTTTTGTTTTGTTTGCTTGTTTGTTTTTTTAATATTGAGTCATCTGAGTTCATTTTATATTTTGGATATTAACCCCTTAACAAACATATTTGCAAATATCTTCTCCCATTCAGTTGGTTGCCTTTTTGTTTTCTTGATGGTTTCCTTCATTGTGCGGAAGATTTTGTTTGAATGAGTCCCATTTCTTTATTTTTGCTTTTTATACCCTTGCCTGAGGAGACAGATCCATTAAAAATATTGCTAAATTCAAAGTCAAAGAGTGTACTGCTTATGTTTTCTTCTAGGAGTTTTATGGTTTCTGGTCTTGCATTTAGGTCTTTAATCCATTTTGAGTTTATTCTTGTATATGATGTAATATACACACATGATATACAAAAATTTCATTCTTTTAGGTGGAGGTGTCCAGTTTTCCCAACATGGCTTATTAAAGAGACTGTTGTTTCACCATTGTATACCTTCTTGCCTCCTTTGTCATAGATTAATTGACCATATGTGTATGATTTATTTCTGAGCTCTCTATTCTGTTCCATTGATTTATACCTGTTTTTGTGTCAGTAGCATACTGTTTTGATTACTGTAGCTTTGTAAAATAGAAGTCAGGGAGTGTGATAACTCTAGTTCTTTTTTTCTCAAGATTGCTTTGGCTGCTAGGGGTCTTTTGTGGTTCCATACACGTTTTAGAATTCTTTGTTCTAGTTCTGAGAAAAATGTCATGAGTATTTTGCTAGGGATTGCATTCAATCTGTAGATTGCTTTGGGTAGTACAGTTATTTTAACATTAATTCTTCCAATCCATGAACATGGTATATCTGTCCATTTATTTGTATGTATTCATCAATGTCTTATAGTTTTCAGAGTACAGGTCTTTCACTTCCTTGGTTAAATTTATTCTTAGGTATTTTATTCTTTTTCATGTGATTGTAGATGAGATTGTTGCATATGTATTTAGCTCTGAGTTGAGTCTCTTATAAGTAGCTTATAGATGCGTCTTGTTTTTTTTTTTTTTTATCCAGTCAGCCTTTTGATTGCAGCATTTAGTCCTTTGACATTTAAAGGGGTTATTGATAGCTATGTACTTATTGATATTTTGTTTCTTGCTTTCTGGTTGTTTCTGTAATTCTTCTCTCTTTTCTTTCTCTTTTAGTTTCTTCCTTTGCAGTTTGATGATTTTCTTTAGTGTTATGTATGGGCTCCTTTCTCTCTAATTTTTGTATATCTATGGTAGTTTTTGATTTGGGTTACCATACACCATCATATATGTTGACCTATAGCTACAACTATTTGTTTTAAACTGATAGTCATTCAAATTCAAACACAATTCTAAAAGATCTACATTTTTTACCCTCCCCCCATATACATTTTGTGTTTTTGATGTCATATTTTACATCTTCATGACTATCCCTTATATGTTTATTGTAGCTATAGTTGATTTTTACAATTTTTGTCTTTTAACCTTGATACTAGATTATTTAAGTGGTTGATCCACTGCCTTTACTATGTATTTGCCTTTACCAGGGAGATTTTTCACTTCCTATATTTTCTTATTTCTTGTTGTAGCCTTTTATTTTTCACTTAAAGAAGATCCTTTAACATTTCTTGTAAGGTTGGTTTAGTAGTGATGAACTCTTCATTTTTGCTTGTCTTGGAAAAGCCTTATCTCTTTTTCAATTCAGAATGATAACCTTGCAGGGTAGAATATTCTAGGTTGTAGATTTTTTTTTTTCTTTCAGCACGTTAAATATATCATACCACTCTCTTCTGTGGTGGAAAGTTTCTTTAGAAAAATAAGCTAAGAGCCTTATTTGGCTTCCCTTGTATGTGACTTTTGTCTCTTGCTGCCTTTACAATTTTCTCTTTATCTTTAACTCTTGCTATTTTAATTATGATAATTCTTAATGTGGGTCTCTTTGGGATCATCTTGTTTGGGATTCTCTGTGATTCCTTTACCTGGATACCTGTTTCCTTCTTTAGGTTAGGGAAGTTTTCAGCCATAATTTCATCATATAAAGTCTAAAAGTTAAATTTATTCCCAAGTAATATAAT